CTTCTTTGCAACTGTTATTTCGTGGTGGGATGTTAGACCAAAACAGAAGGGCTTTGATTGAACTTTCTCTGTGGAAACTGAGATTGAAAATTGGGCATCTATGTTTGCTTTGTAGCTAAAGATGAACCATCAATTAAAACTAGCTGATGAGTATTAGAGGTGGTAGCTGTGCTTCTGAATTCTCCCCTTTTCTGTTACTCCATGATGAAAGTGATAAGAAAATACTGCACGTAATCCCTGGTGACCCCAAAGCTTATACAACAAATACCCAATATTCCAATATTTTGTATTTTATTTTCAGTAGTTGCTTCCACGTTTTGAAGATGTGAGCTTCAGTCTGGTCACTTACAGTTAAATTTTTCTAACCTTCCAATGTTTATTTGCTCTTGGCTCCTTTTACCTGTTCCTGACTGCTTATTTTTTGCATCTGGCAAAACTAATGGTGCTCCCAGGTGGCTTCTTCAGACTATTTGGGACTATTTTCTTCTTTCTGAAGAATTACTAGTAGTTGGTTCCCTTATGAGGCAGCTGACTTCCATTGGGCTAACCTCTAAAAGACTTTCAGCTTACAGTTGAAGAGGCCTCTCCCTAGAATGTAAGGGGGCTGATGCGCTCTGTGATGTGCCTCTAGTTCAGATCTGCTGCATGCAGTATGTCGTGCTGTTTTGGCCATCGCTTGTCTTTTCTTGTAGAGAATACTTGCAGATCAGTGTGGAATTTCTGTTGGCAAGCTGGAATGGAAAGATTATATTTCGGAGGTAGCTGTGGATCCCAGAATCTTCCATTTAGTGATGGCCTCAAGGTAAAAGAGTTACTCCACAAATGCACATACTTAGGGCCAGGGTTTCGATAATGCATGCCAAAAGCTGACACAAGTGAATATGAGTTAGAAAAACTCAACGTTGCCTTACTCTGTGCCTGAAAATGCTCTTTTTTTGTTTGTAAGATGTTTTCAAAATTTCTTTGCATTGGAATTAGAGGGAGTTTAGGTCATCAATCTACTCTTTTTCATCAAGGAGACGGGGGAGAAGAAAGGTCTTTCAAGATGACAATATGACAAGGGTATTTTCTCCAAATCAAATTCTTACCATGGTATCACAGCAGTTAAGTTCCTGTGATCTACTCCATCCATTTGATCATGTTTAACTATTGTTTATCTGAGTGCTGGCAAAAGATAGGGATGATATTACTCAGAATGGGCATGCCTATTTTCTCTATTACTTGTTTTAAATATTTTACCTGTGTTGCTCTCACAATTTATTTTGCTGAGAGCAGTCCCCCTTCACTAGGCTAATTGATATGAAGTCCCTTACGTATCCATACAGCTCCTGGCTGGCCTTCTCTTGCATAGATTAGCAGTGTCTGTGCCATGTACCTCATTGAGCTCTCCCTGGCTAACTGCAGCAGCCCCTCAGCAGTGTTGTGTGCTCCATGATTTCCAAGCTTCCATGTGGGGTCCCCCCACAGATGCTTTAACGTGAACTGCACTTTTTTTTGGTTTTAATTGGAATTTTTTGTTTGTTTGAGACTTATGTGATCTGTTTGGGCCTGGGTCATTTAACAATTTTTTTTCCTTTAATTCTTTAAGAACTATTTCTTTGTCACATACTCAAGCTATAAAAGGAAGGTTGCCTAACAGCATGTTTTTATAGCATGATGCTAAGAAGCATAGGCAACCTTCCTTTTATAGCTTAACAGCGTGTTTTGTTTGTGTTTTTTATAGCATGATGCTAAGAAGCATACTGTATATGGGTGGGCACAAAACTGAGGTGTTGGAAGAGTGCAAAGGCTTCTGGAAAGATGTTGGAGGATTAAGCTGTTGTAAGGCACAGTAGCAGGACTGCTTGTTGGAGGCTTACCTGGACCAGTCTGATGGCTAAAGTAGCTCACTGGCCTTGTTTGGGGAGACATGTGTTTGCATACTAAAAGTCTGTACCAAGACTGATCCTATGATCCTACCATATGCTGAGAGTTGTGCCTTGACACAGAGCACTTTCTGTGCCTGCTTGCTTTCCTCTATCCCCATTGGGTTTTTTTTTGTTGTTTTTTTGTCTCCTCTTTTGCAGCCTGTCGCTCTTTGGAATCCAGGCTCTCTCTCACAGTTCCTAGCAAACTGTGTTTCTAATGTCAGTCAGGTACCTTTGTTGCCAAGATAATGCTAATGGCAGAAGAGAGTATATAATTCACTGTGTTGGTCTCTCCTGAGTGTAACAACGTGAGAGCTGGTCGGGATTCTGTTCAGCTTGCCTCACGTGAGAGAACAAGACCGCTGCCCATCAACTCATTTAACAGAAGCTGAGTAATCATCAAATAGCAACAGTAATTACAATCTTTTGCAATGTAATAAAAGAAATAAGTGCAAACTAACAGAAGAATAAGCAAGGAAGAAAAGCAATGAATTTTGATTTGTTAAGTAACTTGAGATTAAAATGCATGAGTAGGGAGAAAGGAAAAAAACAGAGAGAGAAAACTCCACTCTATAAAATGGTTGGTGTGTAGTGTAAAAATTTCCATAGATTTCCTGGGATATTTTAAATTTGCTCTTTAGGTCTGTTTTGCTCTATGACAAGAAAACGTGTCGGAGTTGGCCATGATTTTTCTACTTCTTTCCATACACTTACAGAAGCAAGTCAGGCTCTTTGGCGGTTGTTGTTTGACTATTAAAAACTCATCCTTCGATTTTGACAATTCTGAAATGCAGAGTTTATCGAAGAGAATGCAGTTCAGTCCTATGTAGTGTTATCTACGTTGTATCTATATATATAGGTATACTAAAATTGGGAAATTATTGTAAATGCAAGACGAAATTAGATCTTCAATTTTTTTAAACCTGTTTTGTGTCGGATTAACATTTTTACTACTGAAATCAAATTATTATCTCATATTTGAATCAAGTACTGTAAGTCTTACTATCTTCTTAGATATGAATGTTTAATGGAAACCATCCTTTTGGGTATGTTCCTCTCCCTAAAGGCACTTATTTTAATACAGGGTTCAACAGGCTACAGAATTTTAACAAATCTAATTCACTGTCAATTAGAGGTAATAATTCTAGAGTTTGAAGGCATAGACCTATTTACTAAGTGTCTTTATGATGTGTATTATAGAGTCTCAAAATCTGTTGTGCTTTCTTCCTATTTTTCATTATTTGGCACCTTGTATGTGTTCAGAGTTGCATGCCCGCAGCATTTTCACCTAATGAAAACAAAAGAAGTTGGGATGTTTCCCAGCTAACGAAACAACTCCTCACCTCCCCTTCCCCATGAAGGTATTGTAATGCTGAAAATATTGGGAGCTGGGATTTACAGAAGTCTTGTAGTCTTCAGAATCTTACCAGAGTTGGACTGGGAAAAGGGTGATGGTTTCCTGCCTAAGTGTTACTCCTTAATGGGCCTTCAGATAAAGAAAGGGTATAGAGAGAAACCTTAGTGGCTGTTTGCTGATATATGATCCATTCCGGCAATTGTAGATGCTAATCTCCTCTCAATGTCTTGTTGACTGCACAGGCATGTGTTTCCCATCAGTTGTGCTTTTTTTTTTTTTTTTTTTTTTCTATACAGGTAAGGGGCATAAAGTATCTGGCCTGGGTCTTTTGGTTCAGTGTGCAAACAGCTGCAGGTGCTCGTCATTACTGCTAACATGTCTTCACAGCTTTGAGATTGTGGTCTCCCCATTTGGGGAAGTGGGGGGAGTCCCAGAGAATCAGAGGGTAGATGCATGTTGTGCTTATCTAAAGATGCTTCCAGTAACAGTCTGCAATTACTTCTGAACTCTCTGTATCTGTACTCTGTGTGTGCATGAAAGAGAGAGAGAATTTCAGTATTCTTCTCCCTGTTATTTAAAGGCAGTTTTTACATCTCTTAGTGCTTTTCTTCAGGCTTCAACTCCTGAAGTGAAATGATTTTGTGAAAATTTCTGATTTTGCCTGAAAAAGTATTTTCATCCATCATGATTTCAGGGAATGCTTGAAAAGCTATCTGGAATAGAACTTTATATCTCAAAAAGAAGAAGACAAATAATACTCCAAAATGTACTGTTTTAATCCTGGTATCGTGACTTTTGGGAGTAGTCATGACTTTTTAACGTTGGGGATCAACAGCTTTGAAAATACGAGCGTACCGGTGACCAGTGAATTCAAATTATAAGGACCAAGTAAAGAAATGCCATTCCTACCTCACCCCACCAAGAGAGTAAGAAACACCTTCTTGTAGCCTATAAAATTGCTTATTCTGTTACGATGTTGTTCTGTGTTGGTACAAGTTTGTAAGTTAAGTTTTGCAGATGGGTATACAAGATGTTACTGTTCCCCTGGAAGGCCCAACAATTAAATTTAAAAAAATATTTCTTGGCAATTTGGTGTTAAGTATATATGGTAGTCTAGGTGTCCTGATGTAATTCCAACTAGAAAGTTACCTTTCCTGCCCAATAGAGCAAAATATAAATAAATAATAGCTGCTGCAGTTTCATTTGGATATTTTACTATTCATCTCCCATTTCTAGAAGTTAGAACAGTTTAGAAGAAGAATAGTTTACTATCTATCCTGTATCCTAATTTCACAGTGTAACTAACTTAATGTTAAAACATTACATTTTTATTAACCATAAAAATATTCTCAATTTCCTTGCATTTTTTTCACCTGTGGGTCTTAAGACTACTGCTATTGTAACTCCTGTATTTAAAGGAAAAGACAGCTTGCTTTTTTCTGGTTATTTCATGCATTTTTCTACCATTTTAATTGTAGAAGGTGTTCAACTTCTGTCTTTGTTTGTATTTGATGATCTTTCAAAACGGCATGGGGGGAAAAGACATGCTAAAAGCCATTATTTTACATGACAATTTACTTTTTGAAATATGCATGGTTTCTGGGAAGCTTTACCTTCGAACTGTTGTTCAGTTGTGTGCTATTGCCAAACAGAATTGGTCTGTACAGTTGTATTGTTACATTACATTACTGAATATATAATTACAAGATCTTTTCTTCTTTTTAATCTTTCCCTAGTGAAAAGGCAGAGTCTGAAAGTTCAGATCAACGCAACAGATGATACTGTTTGCATGAAGTATCTTCGACCAAGTCAAAACACCAAACTTGAAGGTTTTGTCCTGGGCTATGGAAGCAGCTTCTTCTCTAATCAGTACATTCCTTTACCCACTGAAGGAAAAACATACATAAATGAACTTGGTAAGGCATTTTTGCTTTGCGTGTTACTGTGATTATGAAGTGTGGGAACAGAATGAGAAGAATATGAATCTTTGGGGTTCTTACTTTTTTTGGGGGGGGGAGGGGAGGGCAATGCTGCTCAGGGATTTTTGTTTATTTGTTTAATGTTCTCTTGGGAAGAATTTTGGATGAAAGTGCAGTTAGGAGATCCTTCAAGGAGAACAAATAGTTCTTGTTGTTTGGAAGAGATTGTTACTGGTATTAGATTTTTAAAACTGAGAGGTTGTGCCATGTTGACCATATCACAGATCAAATGAGACTATTTGCATGGAACTTTTCATGAGCTCGAGCTGGTAATGAACTCTTGAGCTGCTTCATGCATTGCTAGATAGCTAGATTTGAGTCAGAGTGAAGAGGAAGTGACAATAATAGGCAGCAATAGAGTTGAATTCAAGGAAGTGGGTAAGCCTGTTTATTAGGACACAAGATGTGTTTTCTTTGGTGCTGTGTGTACTTTATGAGCTTACATGACAGTAAGCAACATTATCATTGGTCATGGAAGCTATTCAGACTGTGTCAAAAGATATCAATCTAGCTGAATTTACATTTTGGTAAATACGGTGAATAGACCCATCCATAGGTTCTGAGCTTGATTTGAATTTTTATCTAATCTGCTCAGTCTATATGACTCGAAAAGGAAGACAGGATTTCCTTGAGAAATTTGTGTTAGTTCTTCCATACTTAGGAAGATTGTAAGTCAGTCTCTTTGAATTTGCTGATACTATTGGAGGAACCCCCCAAAATGGGTGGAATCGGGAAAATTTGGTAAGAAGGAATCACAGAATCACAATATCACAGAATGGCCAAGGTTGGAAGGGACCTCTGGAGATCATCTAGTCCAACCCCCCTGCTCCAGCAGGGTCATCTAGAGCACATTACCCAGGATTGCATCCAGGAAAGTTTTGAATATCTCTAGGGAAGATAGGGAAGAAGAATATCTCCAGGGAAGGAGACTCCACCTCTCTGGGCAACCTCTTCCAGTGTTCTGTCACCCTTGCAGTAAAAAAGTTTTTGCTCAGATTCAGATGGAACTGCCTGTATTTCAGTTTGTGCCTGTTGCCTCTTGTCCTGTCACTGGTCACCATGGAGAAGAGTCTGGCCCCATCCTCTTGACACCCTCCCTTCAGATACTTGTACACATTGATGAGATCACAGAATCGTTTAGGTTGGAAGGGACCTCTGGAGATCATCTAGTCCAACCTCCCTGTTCAAGCAGGGTCACCTAGAGCATATTGCCCAGGATCACATCCAGACGGGTTTTGAATATCTCCAGCGAAGGAGACTCCACCACCTCTCTGGGCAACCTGTTCCAATGCTCTGTCACCCTCACAGGGAAGAAGTTTTTTCTCAGGTTCAGACGGAACTTCCTGTGGTTCAGTTTCTGCCCATTGCCTCTTGTCCTGTTGCTGGGCACCACGGAGAAGAGGCTGGCCTCATCCTCTTGACACTCCCCCTTCCGATACTTGTACACGTTGATGAGATCCCCTCTCAATCTTCTCTTCTCCAGGCTGAACAGGCCCAGCTCTTGCAGTCTTTCTTCAGAGGAGAGGTGCTCCAGCCCTCTAATCATCTTGGTAGCCCTCCGCTGGACTCTCTCCAGGAGTGCCATGTCTCTCTTGTACTGGGGAGCCCAGAACTGGACACAGTACTCCAGGTGAGGCCTCACCAGGGCTGAATAGAGGGGCAGGATCACCTCCCTCGACCTGCTGGCAACACTCTGCCTAATGCACCCTAGGATCCCATTGGCCTTCTTGGCCACAAGGGCACACTGCTGGCTCATGTTTAACTTGTTGTCCACCAGCACTCCCAGGTCCTTCTCGGCAGAGCTACTTTCCAACAGGTCAGTCCCCAGCCTGTACTGGTGCATGGGATTATTCCTGCCTAGGTGCAGGACCTTGCACTTGCCTTTGTTGAACTTCATGAGGTTCCTCTCCGCCCACCTCTCCAGCCTGTCCAGGTCCCTCTGAATGGCAGCACAGTCTTCTGGTGTGTTAGCCTCTCCCCCCAGTTTAGTATCATCAGCCAACTTGCTGAGGGTGCACTCTGTCCCTTCCTCCAGGTCATTGATGAATATATTGAACAAGACTGGGCCCAGGACTGACCCCTGGGGGACACCACTAGCCACAGGCCTCCAACTTGACTCTGCGCCATTCACCACAACCCTCTGAGCTCGGCCATCCAGCCAGTTCTCAAGCCACCTCACCGTCCACTCATCTAGCCCACACTTCCTGAGCTTACCTAGGAGGATGTGATGGGAGACAGTGTCAAAAGCCTTGCTGAAGTCCAGAAAGACAACATCCACTGCTCTGCCCTCATCTACCCAGCCAGTCATTCTGTCATAGAAGGCTATCAGATTGGTCAAGCATGATTTCCCTTTGGTGAATCCATGCTGACTACTCCTGATCACCTTCTTGTCCTCCAGATGCTTAGTGATGACCTCCAGGATGAGCTGTTCCATCACCTTTCCCGGGATGGAGGTGAGGCTGACAGGCCTGTAGTTTCCTGGCTCCTCCTTCTTGCCCTTTTTGAAGACTGGCGTGACATTGGCTTTCTTCCAGTCCTCAGGCACCTCTCCTGATCTCCAGGACCTTTCAAAGATGATGGAGAGAGGCCTAGCGATAACATCCGCCAGCTCCCTCAGCACTCGTGGGTGCATCCCATCGGGGCCCATGGATTTGTGGATGTCAAGTTTGGACAAAAGATCTCTAACCCGATCCTCCTCAACCAAGGGAGAGTCTTCCTTTCTCCAGCCTTCCTCTCTTGTCTCCAAGGTCTGGAATTCCTCAGGACTGGCCTTAGCAGTGAAGACAGAAGCAAAGAAGGCATTCAATAACTCTGCCTTCTCTGTATCCTTTGTCACCAGGGCACCCGCCCCTTTCAGCAGCGGGCCCACGTTTTCCCTAGTCTTTCTTTTGCTATTGATGTATTTGAAGAAGGCCTTCTTGTTGTCCTTGACATCCCTTGCCAGATTTAATTCCAACTGGGCCTTAGCCTTCCTTGTCGCATCCCTGCACGCTCTGACAACGTCCCTGTATTCCTCCCAAGTGGCCTGTCCCCTTTTCCACATTCTGTACACTTCCTTCTTCTGCTGGAGTTTGGCCAGGAGTTCCTTGCTCATCCATGCAGGTCTCCTGCCCGCTTTGCTGAACTTCTTCCTCAGAGGGATGCACTGATCTTGAGCCTGGAGGAGGTGATGCTTGAATATTAACCAGCTCTCTTGGACCCCTCTTCCTTCTAGGGCCCTACCCCAGGAGATTCCCCTAAGTAGGTCCCTGAAGAGGCCAAAGTCATCTCTCCTGAAGTCCAGCGTTGCAATCCTACTCATTGCCCTGCTCCCTCCTCACAGGATCCTGAACTCCACCATCTCATGGTCACTGCAGCCAAGGCTGCCCCCAACCTTCACATCTCTAGCCAGACCTTCTGCTGGACATTGTACTAACAAAGCACATCTCTCCTCGTTGGCGTCTCCACCACCCGAGTCAAGAAATTATCATCAGTCCTCTGCAGGAACCTCATGGACTGTTTGTGCCTAGCTGTGCTGTCTTGCCAACAGATGTCAGGGTGGTTGAAGTCTCCCATGAGAACCAGGGCCTGTGATCGTGAGGCTACTTCCAGCTGTCGGTAGAAGGCCTCATCGACTTCCTCTTCCTGATCAGGTGGCCTGTAGTAGACCCCCACAACAGTGTCACCCATGTTACCCTGCCCTTTAATCCTTGCCCATAGGCTCTCAACTTGCTCCTCATCCACCCCGAGGCAGAGCTCCACACATTCTAGCTGCTCCCTCACATAAAGAGCAACTCCACCACCTCGCCTTCCTAGCCTGTCTTTCCTAAAAAGCACATAGCCATCCATGACAGCATCCCAGTCATGTGAACTATCCCACCATGTCTCTGTCACTGCAACGAGATCATGGCCCTGCGACCGCACACAGATCTCTAATTCTTCCTGCTTATTCCCCATGCTGCGTGCATTGGTATACAGGCATTTGAGAGAGCCAGTCAAGCACGCAGGCTTCCCAGAAGAGGTGCAAGAGGATCCTCCATAGCCATGTCCCATGCTGTCTCCCCTGGCTGTATGCACCCGCTGGAGGCATCCTGACTGGAGCGGTGTTTTACTGACTACCCTGTCTGTATAACTCTCTCTTTTCCCCCCGTTTTCCTAGTTTAAAGCCCTCCTTACCAGATTAGCCATCCTTTTGGCAAAGACACGTGTCCCACTTAGTGAGGTGGATCCCGTCTCTCCCCATCAGCTGTCAATCTTCAAACAGGTCCCATGGTCATAGAAACATGAACCTTGTTGCCAACACCAGCGGCGCAGCCAGCTGTTAACTTGGAAAATCCATCTACTCCTCCTCCCATCCTTTCCCCTCACAGGCAAGATTGAGGAGAAAACGACCTGGGCTCCGAGACCCTTGACCACCATCCCCAGAGCTCTGAAATACTGTTTGATGGTATCCATTTTGCACTTTGTGTCATTAGTGCCTCTATGGAAAAGCAGCAGAAGGTGATAGTCTGATGCATGGGCAAGCCTCTGCAGTCTTTCCATGACATCTCTTATTCGAGCCCCTGGCAGGCAGCAAACCTCTCTAGTCAGGAGGTCAGGTCGGCAGATAGGTGCCTCTGTCCCCTGCAGCAGGGAGTCACCCACAACAATCACTCGCCGCTTCTTCTGGGCGTTCCCGCATGGCACAGGGTCTGTCAGGCCAGTTGCTTCTCTGGAAGCCATGCCTAGCTCCCCAGCCTGGAGGGTGCTAAGTCTGTTGCTCAAATGCAAGTCTTCAGGAGGAGAAAGAGCCTTTCTCCTTCTATGAGAAGTGACCAGTTTCCAGCCTTCTTCGACAGTGTTATGATGTACTGTTTCACATGGCACAGAGCCCTCCGGCAACTCCACTGCTGTGGGGTATTGGGAATCCTGGAGCTGGAGAGCCGGTTAATTACCGACGAGAACAAAATGAAGTGCAT